CCGCTAGGATTTCACCATTAAGCCAAGCTGGTCGCCTGCCATATTTACTATTCTTTCGACTCATCGGGATGGTTTGTCCCTGTAACCTCAACAGGGATTCCTTGAAATACAGCCAGCTCTCCTGGACTCCTTTCCCCTTCATGTTAGTCCCCCAGGGGATCCTACCCATCCGTTCCCTGAGGGAGTCGAAGTCTGCTTTCCTGAAGTCCAGGGTCCGTATCCTGCTGCTTACCTTTCTTCCCTGTGTCAGGATCCTGAACTCAACCAACTCATGGTCACTGCCTCCCAGATTCCCATCCACTTTTGCTTCCCCCACTAATTCTTCCCGGTTTGTGAGCAGCAGGTCAAGAAAAGCTCCCCCCCTAGTTGGCTCCTCTAGCACTTGCACCAGGAAATTGTCCCCTACGCTTTCCAAAAACTTCCTGGATTGTCTGTACACCACTGTATTGCTCTCCCAGCAGATATCAGGAAAATTTAAAGTCATCCATGAGAACCAGGGCGTGCGATCTAGTAGCTTCTGCAAGTTGCCGGAAGAAAGCCTCATCCACCTCATCCCCCTGGTCCGGTGGTCTATAGCAGACTCCCACCACTACATCACTCTTGTTGCTCACACTTCTAAACTTAATCCAGAGACAGTCAGGTTTTTCTGCAGTTTCGTACCGGAGCTCTGAGCAGTCATACTGCTCCCTTACATACAGTGCTACTCCCCCACCTTTTCTGCCCTGCCTGTCCTTCCTGAACAGTTTATAACCATCCCTGACAGTACTCCAGTCATGTGAGTTATCCCACCAAGTCTCTGTTATTCCAATCACGTCATAATTCCTTGACATCACCAGGACCTCCAGTTCTCCCTGCTTGTTTCCAAGGCTTTGTGCTTTCGTATATAAGCACTTGAGATAACCTGCTGATTGCTCCTCGTTCTCAGTATGAGGCAGGAGCCCTCCCCTCAACGTTCCTGCCTGTGCTTCCTCCCGGTATCCCGCTTTCCCACTTACCTCAGGGCTTTGGTCTCCTTCCCCCGTTTAAAGTTTAAAGCCCTCCTCACTAGGTTAGCCAGCCTGCTCGCAAAGATGCTCTTCCCTCTCTTCGTAAGATGGAGCCTGTCTCTGCCCAGCACTCCTCCTTCATGGAACACCATCCCATGGTCAAAGAATCCAAAGCCTTCTCTCCGACACCACCTGCGTAGCCATTCGTTGACTTCCACGATTCGACGGTCCCTACCCAGGCCTTTTCCTTCTACGGGGAGGATGGACAAGAACACCACTTGCACCTCAAACTCCTTTATCCTTCTTCCCAGAGCCACGTAGTCCACAGTGATCCACTCAAGGTCATTCTTGGTAGTATCATTGGTGCCCACGTGGAGAAGCAGGAAGGGGTAGCGATCCGAGGGCTTGATGAGTCTCGGCAGTCTCTCCGTCCGGTTAGGTAAGATCAATAAAGGATTCACTACTGGGAGCACACACAGATCCAAAAATGGTGTAGATAGTGGACTTTAGATTAGCTCCAGAATCACTGTACAGAATAATTTCAAATATTCTGCTGCACACAATGGAATATTATGTAGTAAGTGCAGGCTGAACAATGGTTCAATCTTGTCTCTGAATTGCCTGATTTTTGTTGCCTGAGACACTTAAACATGATTGCTGTATTCCTAACATCAACTTTCCGCCTGATGAATCCCAGAGTTTAACTTAGTGCACATAATACAGAGAAATCAGGTCACCTACACCACTGCACTGCAACCACCTCCTGGGTTAGACAGTTTAGGGCAGGAAGCTATTCAATTGACGTGGCAGGGATATTTTCATGATAAACAGCATGTAGCTATCCAAATGAGCTTTTGGCCAAGATATACAGGTTAATGCAGGGGTGGGCAAACTATGGCCCGGGGGCTGCATCCGGCCCTTCAGAGGTTTTAATCCAACCCTCAAGCTCCAGCCAGGGAGTGGGGTTGGGGGCTTGCCCCGCTCAGTGCATGCCAGGGCTTCGCATGGCTCCCGGAAGCAGTGCCATGTTCCTCCTCCGCATAGGGGCAGCCAGGAGGATCTGCACACTGCCCCCACAGCTCCAATTGGCTGGCAACTTGCTGGCAAATGGGAGCTGCAGGGGCGGCGCCTGCAGCCGGGGCAGCACACAGAGCCTCCTGGCTATGCTTCTGCATAGGAGCCGGAGCAGGGACATGCCACTGCTTCTGAGAGCTGTTTGAGGTAAGCACTGCATGGAGCCTGCACCCATGACCCCTCCTGAACCCCAACCCTCTGCCCCAGCCCTGAACCCCCTCCCGCCCTCCATACCCCTCTGATTGCACATTCTTTTTCAGAAAATATTTCAGTGACATCTGTTTGTTTTTTAAGGGTTGGCCATCCATAAAGAAATCCTTCCACTTATTATAGAGATATTTGCCCCAATATCTAAAATCTTCCTTATTCAACATGGCTTTGAAAGCTCTATTTTTTATTTATTATTTATTATATTTATTTTTGTTTGGTCAAGTACCTCACATATGCCCAACCAGTCAGTGCACTTTTAAGTAGTGGGCGATATTTCATTGGTGCCAGAATTTTGGGATAAGAGTCCAGCACACAATTTATATGCGATTGGGTTTTGCCATTTTCTGTTCTATCTGTATTTGTGATGGATTTTCTCTGAGAAATCCATTCCTGTACCAGTCTAATGTGCGTCACCCTATAATATCTCTTGAAGTCTGATAGCACCAGGACATTCCCACCATTCTGTTTTGATTCTTGATTTCCAGTTTGACCACAGGAATCTTCGAATAGGTTTTTTAAAAAAATTCCTGACTAATTTTTGGGAGGTGTAAAGGGAACCATGGAAAAAAGAGACAAGACCCTGGGTAAGATATTCATTTAAAATACACAATTCTACCTGTCAAAGTCAATGGTAATGCCTACCTTTCAAGTCTTTTTAAATAATTTTCATTAATGACTCAATATTTAGTCCCCACCCCCACACTTAAGGTGATTAAAATTACATATTTAGTCATTAAAGTATCATCCACTACTTTTCTGTGGGGATTTATCATTTATTGGGTATCTTCTGAAGCCCAGGAATAGTATCTGATCTGGAGTAGTTTAGTCTGTGTCGATTCCTAACCAAAAGCTTTGATTATTTCTTGTGATACTAGCCAACTTTTATTTATATCTTGTACAACAAGCATAAGGATAATGAAATTTTGTTTTCTGTTCCCAGAACACTGATTGCCTGAATTTCTTCAATGCCCCTCAAATAATAAGAGTGATAAGGGATACCCTTGTCTTGTTTCTCTGTAGAATGGTATCAATGCAGCCTTTTTGATATTTCCCCACATACATGCTATAGGATTTTTTGTAGATTTCAATCCACTTCTGAAAGTGTTCCCCAAAATCATATTTCTAAACAAAAATGGGTGTTCTACCAAGTTAAAAGCCTTTTCTGCATCCATAGTTAGAATGCAGGCTTCTTTATTAGCACTCTTGGAACCCTATACCACATAGGAATTTTCTACGTTATTTAAAGGGCTTCTTCCTTTTCTATAAAGGCAGTTTTGCTTCGGTGTACTAATTTAGGCATTATTGTCTCTAATCTGGATGCTAATATTTTAGTTAAAATAGTACTACCTATATTTAAAGAAATGGACCTGTAAAATGCTTGATCTGATAAGCCCTTATTTTGTTTAGGTATCAAAACTGTATCTGCTTGATAGAAGATATTTGGTAAGCACTCTGTTGCTCAGGAAGACTGAAATACATTTGCTAACAATGGAGTTGCCCATGTTTTAAACATTTTATAGAATTCAACATGACTCTATCTGGTCCAGGATTTTCCCCCTGATTTTAGTAGTGAGATTACCATCTTTATTTTTTCCTGTGTTGTTGTGCCATGTAGTACTACTCTGTCATTATGTGTCAGTCTGGGCATTTTAAAATCCTGCAGTACATGCTCCCAGTTCCTCCATGTTTGCATATTTGCTAGTATTTCTCTCTCAGCAATATTCCACTAGCACTTTGTTAAGAACCCTTGTTTTTTGGAATATTCCATTTTTTGTCCTTAAGGCTGTTCTGGATTTTCTGTTGGAAATTGGTCTGACTAGTAATCTGCCAGATTTGTTCCCTCATTCATAAAGCCTTTGGTTGGCAAATAAGAGAGCTGTCTGTTTTTCTTTCCTGTTATCAGTGCTTTTAAATCCTCTTTTTGCATTCTTCATCTCTTGGAGTAAATTTGCATTATTAGTCAAATAATATTGCTTCTGCCAACTAATAAATTGGCTCCTAAAAGTCTACCTGTTTTTGCTTATGTCTTTCTTTTCTTATGAGATAATGTGTCCCCTTATTCTGATTTAAAGGCCTCCCACGTAGTTTCCAGGGATATATCCTATAAGGAATTATTTTTAATATAATTATCAGTATGGGTTCCTGTGCTCCTCCAAGCAGAATGGATCTCCCACTCACTGCATCCTCAACTTTCTGACAGGAGAACGAAGCCTGTTTCTTGCTGCTGCAGCACCAATGAATTCAGAAGGAAAGAGAGGGACAGAGCCCTGTCAGGTCTGCAACTCTGCTGCTCCTTGCAATCCTCTCCAGGAACCCAGGGGGAGGATGGGCCACCCATTCATTTCTCCTTTCAGCTTCCCAGCAAATTAAGAGAGCTTGACTCCTGCTACTGCCTTTTCACGGAATTCCAGGAAGGAGGGAGGCAGGTAATGCCACAGTCTTGTACTGTGTATAGCCCAGCAGTGAGGCGGCTGAGCATCCCATTCACCTACATAAATGCTGACAGTGTCACTTCAGTGGGTGGAGCGCTGAACTTCTCTGCTCCTGCCCCTTCCACTCTTTTCTCACCTGTGCTCCTGGACTGCCCCCAGTCTAATCACAGGTATAGCATATAGAGCCATTAGTCAATTTAAAGATCTGTCATATGCAGTACATTATATTCAGGATATGATAGAAGTAAAGTTTATAATTAATTGCTTCCACAGACTTAAGGAAGTGCTTTTATTTTACCTTTTTCTTTGATCTCTCCGACTTCTTGGAAATGTTCTTCACTTTTTTATGAAGATGATATAAAACCTAAAAAAAAAATAATAATAATTTAGCAGTAGACACCACATGCACAAATGCTATTACAGGCTGTGTGTGTTTGTCTATGGCCTTGCAGCTTGTAGAAACATTTAAGAATGAAAAGAACTGATTTGCGAAGATGTTAGAGTTCAACAAAAGTCTATTTCAATGCTTTGTTAAATACATTTTGAAATTTTCAGCTCCAGATTTTAACTCTTAAGGTTTCTTCTAAAAGCTTGTTTCCTGGGGAAAATTATGAAAAAAGCTAAGATTGGACAAGGAGTTGCTCATTATACATAAACAGCGTGACCCAAAGCTTGTTGAAGTCCATGGCAGCTTTGATGGACTTTGGATCAGGTTAACTCAACTACATTTATAAGTCCCATAAAGATGTAACATGGTCAGTACCTCACTGTCAGTTCTGCATCCAGTCAGTATAGGGCACTTACTGCATAACTATGAACTGGGCACTCTGAAACTTGAATTTAAAGTTACTTATCTAGGTCTGGTCTACACTAGAAAATTAGGTCAGTTTCACTATGTCGGTCGGGGTGTGAAAAATCCACACCCCTGAGCTGCGTTGTTAGGCCGATTTAAGTCCCCATGCAGATAGTGCTAGGTCAATGGAAGAATTCATCCATTGACCTAGCTATTGCCTCTTGGAGCGGTGGATTACCTACCCTGAGGGGAGAACCCCTCTCGTTGGTGTAGGTAGAGTCTACACTGAACGGCTACGGCAGCTGTAGCATTTTAAGTGTAGACATACCTGTAGGTTCTGACTTCAAAGAGATGCAGGACTATAAAAAACAAAACAAACCAACAAACTATTAAGAAGATAATTTCTATTCAGTGCGCTAACAGAATTTAAATTAACCTTTAAAAACACAATTACAGCAGTGCTGTAACCAGGCAATTATTATACTCTGGCTATTGGAGCCAGGAGACTAATGTACCTAAATCAATTATTTATAAGAAAATCCATCTATTAAATGTCATTCACATGCCATTTGCCAGTACACACACCATAAGCAATGAACTGGAAAGAAACCAGCATCAATTTAAGCTACCATAGGGGAAGCTAAGCTCTTTATTGAAAGATTGTATATTAGGGCTTTTTTTCCCTCACACACACAGGGACAGAGATTAGAGATTTCAGTATAAACACAGTAGAAGAGTTAAGGCCTCTTTCTAATGTAAATCCTATTACTGAAATTTCAAGCATACACTTTAAAAAAAGATTTGTTATACTGGTAGAATATTCAGTTAATCTTAAAGGGACAGCAACTTAAGTCACTTTAATTGGAAGCATTACCTAATACTGTAGCTTAACGGTCTGAGAAAAAGTCTCTTAACAGTATTTCCCTTTTTTGTGGGTCTCGCCCAGCAACACAGGGAGGAACATTTTACAAAAGTAGGAAAACGATTGTAAAGCTACAAAAATCAGCATGGGAGTTGGGGTGGCTGGTAAGGGGTAAGTCTCTGTCAATCCTGGAGAAGGCATACATGGGGATTGTTTCAGTGCCCTCACCCATCAATCCTGGGGAGGGAATAGGCAAATAAATATTTGGAGATCTGTTATGTTACCCCAATTTTGCCCACTCCCCTCTTTTCACCCACTCCCACTCTGGTGTGGAATTGATAGCCTCAGCTTTAGGAAAGGAACAAGGAGTGGTGGGGGTTATTTCCATCCGTCGGGAATATGGGGTGGATAGATTGATCATGAGTCCTGGCGTAGGAAGTAAGGGAAACTGGCAATTTTGGAACCCCTTATAAGACCGCCACCTACCTCCCCCTCCTCTCCCTTCACCCACCTTGGCATAGCAGCAGGTAATGAGCACCAGGGGCAGCAGGTACCCCACCACCAGGATGGTCACCTTGTAGATTTGCTTGGCAGCTGAATCATCAGCCCACTGCTCCCAGCAGAAGGAGCTGTTGGGTGCCTGCTGGTGGCCACTCATGAGGGCCTGGTGCTGGGCCACAGGGATGGCAATGAGCAGTGACAGCAGCCAGATGATGCCCACGCCCAGGGAGGCATTGCGTTTGCTGCGGATGCAGGGCGAGCGCTTGGCGTGCACCACGGCGATGTATCTGTCCACAGACATGGCCACCAGGGTGAAGATGCTGACGAGCATGGTGGCCATGGCCAGGTAGTGAACCCACTTGCAGAAGAAGGCGCCGAAGACCCACTCGGGCAGGGAGTAGATGGTGGCTTGGAAGGGGACGCAGAAGAGCAGGAATGAGAAATCTGCAATGCTCAGGTTGAGGATGAAGATGTTGGTGGCGCTGCGTGAAGGGCGTCCCCCAGATCGGATTCGCCCCAGCACCACTAACACCAGCGTGTTCCCCACCATGCCCAGCATGAAGATCAGCCCGAAGAGCACAGGCACAATCACGACTGCGGGGCCACCCCCCGACACTTGCAGCCAACACACTGGGGTGCCTGTCCAGTTAGCCCCGACGCCGCACTCAGTGCTGTTAGCCCCAGGAGACAGTACAGCCTCCTCCTCCTCCATGGAGCCAGGGTAGGTACAGGGGAGAGACTGGATCCTTGGGGGTGCCTGCTCGGGGCCACTCCCAGTGCCCACAGCGGCGGTCTGTCTGAGATATTTGGTGCTCAGTGGCCCTGCTTCAAAGAGCTCCCTCCTTCTGGGGTGTCTCTGCCTGGACTCTTTCTCCAGGGGGTGAAGAGAATGTAGGTTCCTCCAGTTGCAGGGTTTGGGCTCCTGGGGGGCTTCTTCTCTGGGGCTCTGTTCAGGCTCTCTGACCTCGCTCCTGGGTGCTGTTGACAGTGCAGGGGGCTCAGCAGCAGCTGGCGGTGGTGGTGATGTGCCAGAAGCAGAGGGACTAGAGAATGGAGCACATGCCAGAGGGGCTGCGTATGCACTGGGAGCTTTGAGTGCAATCCGCGCTGCTCCAGCTCCTTTGCTCCACGCCTCCCTTCTCCACCCACACTTATCCAGCTGCCGCCCCCCCTCCCGTCCCCAGCTGCGCTCACAGCAATGGAGCTAAGTTAACCGGGGAGCTGCCCGGGCCCTGATTCCTTTAGAGGAGAAGCCCCGGTCTCCTCCACCCCGGCAGGCATGCACATGAGGAAGGGGGAGGACAGCAAAGATGAGTTCTGATTTAAAGAGGCTGATCCAACAGCAGCTGCCCAGGGAAAATCTGTACGGCCCTCCCAAGGAGTAGAGCTGGGGAGCACCTGTTGCAAGGACAGGGAAAGAGGTAAGAGCAGGATTTTATAGCTGTAAAACCTGGATTCTGCCAGCCCTTAAATTGCACTATCAAAAGGGAAGGGATTTACCTGATGCCAGTGCACAAACTAGCTGGACCTTGCTGCATCCTGGCAGGAGTGCAGCAAAAACCCAGAATGAGCAGCTGGCTTCTGACAGTTCTTGGATGCTCACAAAATTCTAAACACCTAAATAGAGCATAGGCATAACTGCTACTAGTGCAAACAAATTCAGACCTCAGTGCAACAGGGTCACAAAAGTCTGGAAGCATGGAGCGCCTTTTGTTGGGTGGACCAAATTCTGGTTCTCCATATAGGCAGTGGAAATTGCAGTTAAAATTTTTGTTCTGTCCGTTAGGATCCAGCTTTGCCTGCACCCCATGGATAGTACCTACAGGATCTCCTGCACAATGCAACACAGACGTGCCAGCATGGTAGGCTCGTGCTGGAGTTAATGGCAACTTGATTTCACTGGGAGAAGGATGTGGTCCCTTAGTTTCTAGGCGTGTTAACTGTTGCAGTTTAGAACTGACTTGCTTTGCTGGCTTGTCTCTAATGAATTACTGAGCTCATATTGGGAAACCTGGTGCCCCCACACTGAAATGCTGGCATCCCCTTCCCTTTCTGGATCAATCAGGAATTAAGTTCCCAGTGACATTTAATTGGTGTTATTCGGAACCAGGGAAACTTGTTCCTTATCCTTAATAGCAATGGGAAGAGTCCAGGATTAGTATGAGTTTCCCTCAAAGGAGTATCTATGCCAGAGAAGCAGATATGGAGTTCTGCAAAACGCCACTGCACTGAAGGATCAACTAACAGTGGCAGCCCATGGCATAGTCCTGCTATCTTTTGGGGCACACTGTTAGAATCAGAATAGCAATATAGCTGTGTAACAGGTTACAGGGAGTTGAGAAGCAGTTTATTCTCAAGTGTATACATGAGGAGAGGTAAATGCCTGAGCAGCTATGAGGCAGTTCAGCTATGTGAATGAAACTCCTCAAAAAGTGACTGTGTTTAATTTGAGTGGTGCAGTTTTTCCCATGCATTGATTTCCATAAGTGTGTAACAAATCTTGAGTTTCAGCATCCGACAATGCTTTTCTGAGCAATCTGTAAAGGGGTGCGCTCCTTAGCAGCACTACAATAGAGTAAACGATTTCTTAATTATGAAAGGTGGTTGATGCTAATATTAGCATTTATTGTACAAGAGAAATTTTAAATGGGCGCTAAAGCAATTGATGTTTGTTTTTAGGATGAAGGGTCTTCAGTTCAGCAGATTTAAACCTTGCAATCATTTCCTAGGAGCTGGATACCTGATACAAGGGATGTTTTGAAGGTGAGTAAATCAGACATGGAAAAGACCTCAAGTTACTTGTCCTGTAGTCTATTCTATTGGATTGTTCCCTTTTGTATTTTATGGCTTTGTCCATTCTAATTTTAAATCACCCAAGAGCGAGGCTTTCTGCTTCTCTTCAGAATAAAAGATGATTTTGCTAGGATATTTTTCTGATAATTCCTCAGAGGTTTTTTTGTTTGATTTCATCCCATCTGTCACAGTTACAGGGGTAACCGCACCCCATTCTGGGTTGAGTGCATCTCCTCAGGTGTTATGTAAAGGCATAAGGCCCATCTTAATGGAATTTTGCAATTTCCCACTTCTAGACTGGTCCGGGGGCATCCACAATTCTTACCCTGCAGGTCCAAATGAGTTTGGAAATCTGTGATTCTCCCCTCTGGGAGCCGGACCAGTGGTACTCGGAGATCAGACAGCTGTCTTAAAACAAAAGATGTGTTTGTTTTAGCAGTAGGAACAAAGCTTTTGGAGAAAGATGCTTTAAAAACAAGAAAAGGCATGCTGGAGGGGACTTGAGGGGTGCTGGAACACTTTGTACAGTGGGGGTGCTGAGAGCCATTGAACCAAACTGTAAATCTTGTATATGATGGAAACCGCTTCAAGCCAAGGAGTGCAGCACCCCCAGCAATCCTACTTCCAGCACCTATACCCTGCCCCCCAGTCATAACAATGCATACAACATTAAGAAGGGGAAAAGCAGCATGCCTGTGTTTAAAAAGTAGTAAAAGTTGAGATCATATTGGTAGCATTCAGGCAGCCTGTGAATAAAAGTACAGAATCATTTTCCTAGTATGTGAATGTTAATAAGAGTAACATCTCCTAATTACATGGAATATGAGGTACCTAACAAACCACTTCTTACATTGATGGCTGTGGTTAAATTGATGGCTGAACATTAGCACTTTAAGCCTCCAGACTCTTGGAAAAACACTTGTAATAATGACAAGCTATTGTCCTCTCTGTTATACTCTTACTTGTTTTCTCTGGGAAAGATAAATCCCTATTAAAGAGCCTTGATAAATTCCCCCTAGTCCTGCTAAGGGGTTATTTAATTTAAAATCCAGTTTTAAGAAAGGGGTTTTAAATTAGGAAAAATTGCTGAGATTTCAACCCTTCAAGCTTTTTATTAATGACAATTGGCAGTAGAATTGATTTCCCCTCCCACCAATTATTGCAAGAGGTTATCATACAAGGGCGAGGTAAGACAGCAGAGCTGAGGCAGTATTGCCTCTGAGTGACAGTAATTTTATTCTTTTACTGAAGTCATCAAACTTGGCCCATCTTTTCTCAAACTGTTAAGTTAATCAGACACTGGCATGAAGTTTCATTAATAGTACAGCTGATTATGGAATTGAAATAAATGTATTTTGCATTGGCTGTTTGGATATGTTTACACAGCAGCTGGGAACAAGCCTCTGGCTCCCACACTGGGTAGACAGACTTCTGATAGCTTGGCTTGAGCTAGCGCACTTAAAAGAGCAATGTGGACATTGCGATTCTGCCACAGGCTCAGGCTAGCCACCCAAACTCAGACCCAAGAGAATGGGTTGTCTTGAGAGCCAGAGCTGCTTCCTGAGCTGTAATGTCCACACGACTATTTTTAGCACGCTAGCTGGAGCCTGTCCATGGGGGCTAGAAGGCATGCTCCCAGCTGCAGTGTGTACCCTTTGAGTTGCTTACGCACTGTAGGAGATATTGGCAGATGGCAAGTCTTACTATATCCACACATGAAGGGCAAAATACTTGCCTATTTATTGTGCAGTGTTATGGTTTGGGTTAATGCTCACTGAAACTGATGGGTAGAACAGCCACCCTTCATTTGGGATAGATTAAGAAACAGGTAAACTCCTTCGTGGAACCACCTAGCTGAAACAACAGCATCCTCCACTCCGTCCACAGGCAAATGTTACTGCCCAAAACAACGTCCTGTGCAGTGCGCATGGAGGGTGAGGGGTTTCTCTGGGCATTGTTGTGTGAAGGTTTGTGGTGAGTGAAGGTGAGGCAGAAAGCCCAGAGAAGCGGAGAGAAGGAAGCACCAGCCAGCCACAGAAGCACTGGAAGGCCTGGTCTACATGGGGGGGGATCGATCTAAGTTACGCAACATTCTGGACCGTGGGGGAGGCAGCAGAGTGTCACTCGCAGCCCCACGGCCCATTGTGATTGGATGTCATTCATCCAGCTGGGCTTGGTACCAGCTGTAGTGTCTCCTGGCGGCCACCACAGGCAGCTGTGGCATCTGCTGAGCCTGCAGCCTCTGCCTCCACCGGTGCCTATTCTCTACCCCTTCCCTCCACCCCAATGCTGGTTCTCACTCAGCCACATGGAGGAACTGTGTGTGTCTGTGTGTGTTGGGGGGTGGGGTGGGGCGTGTCAGACTTAGTGCCCAACCCAGGAGGTGGGGGTGCTGGGAGAGCTGGGGCTTTTGGGGAGCTGCCTGGGGTTGATAGGACAGAGCTAATCTGTTTATCTCTCCTCTGTCTAAGGATTTATCCTGCTGCCCATCATCATAGTATCTCCCATGTAAAATCAGCATCAGGAGCTAGCTCCCCAGTGCCTTCACTGAGTCTCCAGCACTTCTCTCCTTATGGAGTCAGAATTCTGCTTGAGGTAGGTTTTTAAGATTTGGGGGGTTTTTTTGGAGAGGGGGGAATAAAAGGGCTGCTCATATCATGAGTGTCACTTATGGTGGAAAGGCTTTCTCAGACAGGATGGCTCTGCAAAGTTCCTAAAGATGATCAGGCTCTGGATTCTTCTCATCTCCTCTGCAAGTTGGATCTGTAGCCCATCCACTTGACTGAGAACACTTTGCCCCAGCTCACATCCTTCATCCTGAGAAATGGTGGTGCCAGACATAAGCAGACTAAGCAATGGCTTAGGGACCCAAGCTGCTCAATGAGCCTCCGATGTAGTATTACCCCCCAAATACCATTCATCTTGTTTAATGTGGATATTTTAACAGGTGGGTTAGCATATTTTTTGGTTTGTGGAAATAATGCAATTAGTGTATTGGGGGCGGGGGTGAAGGTCAGAGGGGTCCCGATAATATTCTTGCATGGGGCCCCCACTGGGCTAGCACCACCTCTGATCCGCGGTGTTGTGATCTTCATTGCCCCAGAGAGCACAGCTGGCCTAAGAGGACTTGGGCTGATGGGGCTAATGCCGGCCTTTGGCAACCCTAGTATGCTTCCCCGTCCAGTAACCATCCCCTCAGCCTCCCCTGGTTATCCCATCTGTAGGATGCAAGAGATAAGGTTCTGCCTCCCTTCACCTGCTCCTATTGCTCTGGGAAGCCCTGAAAGAGAAATAGAGCCTCAGTATGACAACTTTCACCAGCATGAAATACACAGTTCTACCAAAATTGATATTTGTGGTCATTTGCAAATTTGTAAATGTTACTTTGTAAAGTTAATTGTAAAGGCTACTTTGTAAAGCTAAAATTGTAAAGGTTAATTATGGGTCTTGTAGACAAGAACCTTTCACAACAACAACAATAAAACACAGACTTAACTCTATGCACGGCTATACAAATATCAGATCAGTCTGAACTTGAGAAACAAGGAACTAGCTTAGAAGCAGCAAGTGCTAAAAGTAATTATCATAAGAACTCTAGTTATGGAAGAGTAGTGTCTGCCCTTTGTGTCAACATTGGTATGGAAAGGATGTAGTAATAATAACAATTAATAGAGGCTCGTTGTTGGGAGCTGTGGGCCTGGTGAGTTATAAGGGATTATGTAAAAATAATGAGGAGTCCAGGTGCCACAAGGACTCCTCGTTATTTTTGCTGAATCAGACTAACACGGCTACCACTCTGAAAAGGGATTATGTGATAGTGGAGAACCAGATGGACTGTTTGCTTGAACACTTGGTAACATACAGGTTTTTTAAAAAACACTAGTGACTTCATAAAGTGTAAAACTGGTTTCAAAGTGTCAACTGGACTTCATTGAAAAATACTTTCTATCTTCTTAATGTTTTTTTTTTTTGCTAAAAATGTAACATGTTGACTGAACAAGAGCGGTCACAATTAGATACTGATTTTTAGTCAAATATTTTCATTCCACTTGTAAAATCGTGTCCCTGCTTTTGCCTAATTCCAAATGTCTGCAACTGTTGAGTGTTGATTGTTCGATGAAAGAACAGAGCCAGTGTTGTTTAGGACTGAGCGACAGCCTTTTATGCACTATTCAGCTTAATTGTAGAAAAGACAGTAATGTATCACCATCCAGTCACTGAGCTAGCTTCAGTGCTAAGTAAGGTCACTGAGAATTAAACACCAGACTGTAGGGAAATGAGAGCTATCAGTGCCATCAAATTAGCAAGACAGCCATTGCCTGAATACATTAAATTATGCCTGGAATTTATTGATGCATTAACTGAAGCAAATAGTCTTCCCTCAATTACTGTATAAATAAATCTCATTAGACTTCCAAACTTGGAAGTGACTAATTACAGCACTCTGTAACAAGCCCATCATTTCAGTGGAATGCATGTTTTAAGTGCCCAATCTTGTAGGCGCTTCCTGCTAACCCTCATTAGCTCATGCATGTACCATTGTAGTCAAGGGATTGCAGAATCAGAACCTAAAGTGGAAGCCAAATGTAAGTTTTGGCCCTAAACTCATAGATCCTGTAAACCTTATTTATTAGTATTATCATTCAGTTCGGGGGGGCTCTCATGTGAGTAGGACTAATAACAGTGTGTAGTGGTTGCAATGTCAGGTGTTAGGGCTTCAATAACAAGTCATGAGCCAGTAAGTTAAACCTGGATGAGGTAGGAGAAACTTAAGTTCTGAGTAACTATTTTATACAAGTTTTTATATGTGCCTAAGAACTAAAACTTTGTGAGGGGGGAAAAAACTCAATCTTTTCAATGAGATCTGACCTGAACTCTAATTTCTCAGCTACATCTTTGCACGATTATTACTCTTTGCTCTTCCGTCTTCCTGCATTGCTGAATCCTCTAATTACACATATAAAGAGGCCTTAGCATGTCAATCCCTTGTCCTCTCTGCACACTGAATTTTCATGGGTTAGGGGAGGTAACTGTCCTGTAACCGTCTTAGAGATCTGACAGGCTGTCCAGACTTTCAAGCCTTGTGACGAACCACCTTTTAGGCTTGTAACCCCCCGTCTGTAGTTCTACAAGAAGAATCATTAAAAGTTGTGTGAAGGTTCTGATCTACCCTGCTGATTGACCCTGGGGGCCTCCAGCTCTTAATGCAGATTAACTTTACCTAGAACCATGATTTAACTATGCTTGTCATGTGTATACTGTTATTTGCATAAACACAAATTGATCATGGAAATGAGTCAGTCCCTAAATTCTGCTAAAGTGGTTGACCGTGACCCTCTGCTATAATTAATTAATTCCACCAATTGACTGCTGGTTACTTAAAGTACCCAGTCAGCTACAAGCAGTTAATTTTAAAGACTAAATCTTCTGATTTAAAACTTCTAATTTAAAACATGTAAAATTGGTTTGTTTTCTCAGGGGAAAATCAGTAATTAGTCAAGGCAAAATGCAAATCTCATTTGCATAAATTTCTCATTTTTCAAGGAGATTAATCATATTGTAAAATCTATTCCCTGCTTTGCCTATTTCACCACTAATTGGTTCAAAATTCTCGTCACATAGGACTGGAAGGGACCTTGAGAAGTCATTTAGTCCAGTCCCCTGCACTCATGGCAGGACTAAGTATTATCTAGACCATCCCTGCCAGGTGTTTGTCTAACCCAGGGGAGGGAAAACTATGGCCCATGGGCTGGATCCGAGCTATCAGGGCTTTCAATCCGGCCCACGGGATTGCCAGCCCAGTGGCGCAGTGGGGCTAAGGCCCTGGTCCCAGGCCACTGTTGGGAGTGGCCGGCACCACATCCCTGCAGCCTCTGGGGGTGGGTGGGGAGCAGAGGGCTCCGTGTGCTGCCCAAGCCTGCAGGCACCATCCCCTGCAGCTCCCATTGGCTGGGAACCGCAGCCAATGGGAGCTTTGGGGAGCTCAACATGGGTGTGCGGCCGGGATGGCAGGTGGGGGGGGGGGGGGACGCAAAAACGGCGGTGGCCCCGGTCGTGTCTGCCTCCCAGGCACACCGGGAACAGAGGGAAACCCTGGATCCCTGGTTGTAGCACCATAGACATGCTTTTCAGTATCAGGCAAATACAAGAAAAATGTATTTAACAAAACCATGAGTCTTTTCAGTGTTTTCATTGATCTGATAAAAGCATTTGATACAGTCGATAGAGAAGGATTATGAATGATTCTCAGAAAACTTGGTTGCCCACCAAAACTGGTAAAGATCATTCATTTATTTTCATGAGGGGATGCAAGGCCAGGCACTTTTTAATGGAGATCTCACTGACTCCTTTCCTATTTCAAATGGAGTCAAACAAGGAGAATTGGTGCAAGGACACCAGAATCAAGGCCACCCCAGAAAGCGCTCCAAGGACAGCATCAAGAACAGCATACACTTTGGTGCAATAAAACTGGATGATCTTGAGAAGGCTACATTACATAGATCAGCATGGCTATGCACAACACTCAGAGCTTTCCAAGCCTTTGAAGAGGACACAAGTAATCGATTGTTAGCTGCGAGGGAAAAGCAGTCATACTACTGCTATAACTACCAAGATGCTCACCCATGACTTTGTCTGCCCCATTTGCTCATGAGCATGCATGTCATGGTTTGGACGTCAGTCACTCCAGAATCTACGAAAAGAGAGAGCATGAAAATGTTATCGTTGAACTGACGGACTACACACACATACCTTGCATCTAAAATATTTGTTAATGTATATCTCAACTAGTTGGGTATTATTATTATTATTTTATTATTATTATTATTATTATTAATTTGATTCAGCACAAGGTGGAAGCAAATGTTTGCTTAGATTTTTCAGGAACTATGTTGAGTTGTGGAAGTTGGAGGCAAACTTAAGACTGGCGATCTGATAATCCTTTTGTTAGATGCCCAGGTACTGTGCTGGTGTGAGCAGCATAGATGCCCCGATAAATAGAAGTAGTGATGCTATTAAAGTTTCACTTAAAGTGCTGAGGTTCTCCCTTCATTTGTGATTCTGAGGTCTGCACCAGCTTCCTGGCGTGGCCTGTCCTGAATGTTGCCCTTTGGTCAGTGCAGGTGCACTTGTGCTTGAAGGGGAGGCTCCGGCTTAGTCAGTATTGACTCTAGAGCGGGACTGTAGTGGGGCAGTCACCCCAGCCATGAAAAGGTTAAAAGCCAGCCCTGGCAGAGGGCTGGGGCTGAAAGCCAATAGGAAAAGGCTGGGAGGTAGCCACTCAGGGCCAGGCGGGCCCTATAAAAGACCTGCGGGGCCAGAAGGCAGGTCAGTCTCACTCCAGTTATGGAGTGAGAAGGACCTAGCTGCCTGGGAGCACAGGGTACCTGGGGCAGAGCAAATACCCTTGTTTGCATGAAGGTATTGGAATTGGTGTAAAGTGCTGGGGAAGGGCAAGAGGAGCTGGGGAGTTCCAGTCTAGCAACTCCCCAGGCTAAGACCTTGTTTAAGGCCTAAGCAGGTCCTGGGGCTGCAGAGGTGCAGCCTGGGGATAAGCAGAGGCAGCTGGTCCAACCCCCTTGCC